CGCTACTGGGAAGGAAGCTTCAGGGGCTACGCAAAGTTCTGATCAATTACCACTGGCCGAAATGAGCGAGCTCGACAAGTTTGGACTGGCAGGACTGTTGCGCATGATCCATAGCGAAAACGCCGATGTTTCAAGTCTCGCGGTAGGACAGGATCTCATGACATTAGGCCTGGACCTGAATCAACCAGAGTATGTTCTGGCGACTTCTTGAATTCCGAAGCCTTTTCTCACACAGTCATAGACCTCTACATACGTCATTTGCCTCTCCGTTCGTTGCCTCCATGCCGGGAGTTCCTCTGGAGCAAGATTTCGCTCTCCCGGCGTGCTATAGCGTCGCCAATGTTCAGCCTCTCCAGACACGTATCCCCAGTTTCAGCGACGAGACCTTGTTCTACATATTCTACAGCATGCCTAGAGATTTACTGCAGGAGGTCGTTGCGGAGGAACTCATGGGTCGGAAATGGAGGTACCACAAGATCGAACGGTGCTGGCTTACCCGCGACGAGACGTACCCCGGTCCTGTTGACGTTGATCGCGGCGTAAGTGAAAGGGGCGTCTACCTATTGTGGGATCCTGCCAGCTGGAAGAAGGTTCGGGTATGTCTACCCTCGTCTTTGCTTGAAGTCTTCCCTCCGTGACTCGCTTCCGCCTCGGCATACGCTAACCAGAGGCTACAGCGCGAGTTCATTCTTCGTTACGAGGACTTGGATAACAGGATGGATCCAAACCGGGGTCTTGCGCGAGTCGGATTTCCGCATGCTTCATGAATGTCTGAGGGGAGCACCCGGGGGAGGGGATAGGATCAAATGGCGTTAGGTTCACTACCAGTTTTCAGGTGGCTGTTCAGGTGTCGCAGTACTGCCAAGCAACAGGTGTTTCTCTAAGCTTTAGTGGTCTATCCGGGATAAGGACATTCATGCGAATTCAATGACTTCTATGACCTCACTTTGCGGTGTTCCAACTAGCTGATAAACACGTAAAACAGACCATTTACATTAGCACTAACAGATCAGTCGATAACAGTATCGCGAACTACTAGCACCCCAATTCATCCCTACATCGACTAGGGCTTCCTCCCCGCCGCAATAATAGCCACCGGCTCCAGCTTGATCACCCCATCAGCTCCAAACTTCTCCTCCAGATACTCTCTGATCACCACCGGCGCCTTCGCCCCATACTGTTCCCGCTGCTCGGGCGTCCAGAAGGTACCGGTTACAGTAGAAATCATCCACTCACCGACCTCCATGAACTCAGCTACAGTCGACGAAGTCTCCCTCTGCACAGCAGTAACTTCCACGTCTTCGAACCCTTCCTCTTCGAATCGAGCTTTCACGAAAGACTCGTCGTCCCAGCCTTCGTTATGCAAGGCCAGGAACTCTTTCGTGGTGGGGAACTTGACATTCCATGACGTGGCTTCGATGGCTTCTTTCATGATGACGAACCAGGAAGCTGTCATAACTTCTGGTTAGAACCGACTGGTTGAACAAACGGAGGAGGGGGGCAAATCATGGACATACAGGTCTTCCACGTCGAAGTCGCAAGTACACCTCCCGACTGGAGGATACGGAAACATTCTACCATTAACAAACGCAGACGATCAGCTTCAACTTCCAATCAAACTAGCGATAAATACGTACCTCTCATCGCAGCCCTCGCATCGGGTATCATCATGAACGCTGCCCCGATCATTCAGTCAATAAGTCAATCGGTTCAATATAAAGACGCTACCCCCTCCTCCGCCGAAAGACATTTACCACTCACCAAAAGCCGAAAACACATGCGTATACCTATCCGCCGGCAACCCCGTACACTGAGCATCCACGACCTTCGCCTCGGCATTCACCCACCCTTCCCTCTCACTCCGCACCTTGGTATACTCCACCATCAGCTCCGTCACGTCCCCGCAAGTCAGTGTCCAGTGTCTCTTGACGTCTTCGGGCAACGTGCTGTTCAGATGGCTGGAGACGATACCCAGCCCGCAGGCGTTGTCGAAGACTGCCAGGGGCTTGTTGTTAATGGGGTCATTGTTGGGGGTAGACAAGATGCCAGAGTGCTGGACGAGCGGTGCAACAAAGACGCCGGTGATTTTCTCGGCCAGGTGGTAGCGTGATACGTAGGCTGGGGTGATGTAGGAGGAAGCAGAGATTTTGGGGGTCATTATGATGATAGGATGTTAAGACTTTCTGGTGGAATGGAATGGAAGGGATGATATGGAAGGTGTTGACTTGTTTATTTTGAAAGAGATAAGTGATCCACTGGGAGCGAAGAGGACCTGGAAAAGAGCACCTTTTTATATCTTTTCTAGCTACCTAGTTGTTACTCATTCTATGCTTGGCTGTGCCTTGGAGATGCGAAGGATGGGAGTAAGTCTCCGATATGTCTCCGCGAGCACCTTGGTGACTGTCTCTCGGGGACTTGGACTCGATAGATGTATTATCAGCTGATATTCTATGGACTAGCCACCTCCTATAAACAGGCTCCCAACCAGGTTGTGGAGTTGGTGGCTATGTCAGAAGTCTCCGGAGCATGTTCGTATTCTTCCCATCCCGTTCTTCCATGATGGCACACCCCGAAACAGACCAGAGATTCAACATGGCATGCATATTATCCGCCGGAGGGGTAGCAAGGAAACAATAAAGAAATAAAACGAAAGTCGATAAAAGAATGCAATATCAACGAGAAAGAACAAAATAGAAAAGAAAAAAGAAACGTCCCGGGAGAGGATCGAACTCTCAACCTCACGATTAACAGTCGTACGCGCTAACCTTTATTCTGAATTAGTAACTGATTGATTGGATGAATTTGATGAAGGGCAAGCTTACCAATTGCGCCACCGAGACGACTCGTTATAAGATCTGCGCTCTTGTTTGCTATATTAGGGGCAGGTATAGGAAGCATCATGGTAGCTACCACCAACCCCATACGGAAGGAAGCTGTTTTCTTGACTAGCATTTACTAGTTACTACAGGTTTTGATATGGTTAGATGTATAATCAGCAAGTGTTTCTCAAGCTCTTGGTGGGTAACTTGGTTTATTAGAGTTCTCGGAGATTTAGAGGGCCACATAGTTAATAACTAGTAGTCAACGGTTAACGATGTCGCGCAGCACCCGGTCCGACATCAGTTAGGTACTTATCTAGTACACCCCCTTCTCATACTAAAGGGACTGGGTCACGGGGAGACGTCTGTTGGCACTACTTGCCTTGAATCTTTGTGTTGCCTTATGCGATCATTGGGATGTTGCAGCAGTTAGCTGCCTCCCTCCTTCCTTTTGCGGAACGGAGACTAGCTACATCTGTTTTCTTCGCTTGCTTCGCTTTCTATCATCTTGTACTTAGAACCACGAACAGAAATACGATCAAAAAACACCTTTGAATGCTAGTCTTTCTTCTTTCATTTCGTTTCTTCCTCTTATTTAGTATAGAAACGCATGCCACGACTCGCCCGCTGCGAGCGAGACGCAGCAAAGTGGTACCAGGTGTTGATACGCTGGAAGAACGGCGACGAAACCTGGGAACCGCTGGGCAATGTCAAAGAAGATGTTCCTGATCTACTTAAGGCCTTTCAGAAAGGACAGAGGAGGCGTCGCATGTTGCACCGTTCGCAGGAGTAACAGGTATCTCACTGATAAAGCAAGTGTTAAAGTAAGTAATAACACCTTCATTTCTAATCCTCTCCTCGCCCATCTTTCACTTCTGTTTTCTGCTCCCACCTTACCTCATCCACTTTCATTTCAGCTGATCTCGTTTTATCTGATGCTTACTTCTCTCCTTCCTTTGACACTATATCTTGCATTCAACCAATCCTCTACACCACTCTGTCCTGTTTCCTGCTGTCCGCTCTTCACGTGTCCGCTCTTTACGTGTCTGCTCTTTATTACCAACTAACACGCGAGCATTCAACGCAACATGGCCGCGGCGGGTGCGAACGGTGGAATGATGGCAATGTTGCCTCGAACAACAACCATGGCCGACCGTCGGGTCATGGATACAATCCTCACAATCTATCAACTCCCGCCCGTCTGGCATGACGGGATGCCCCCAGGACCGGACATGCTACCACTTTGCCACGACTCGCCCGCTACGAGCGAGACGCAGCAGATGTTTTGCATGTTGACCTTCTCTGCCATGAGGTGATGAATCCCACAAACATTCATCCATAGCTATAGTCTAGCAAATCTATAATCCGGTGGAATCATTCTGTTGCGAAAGGGCCAAGGTGACCTGTTTTATGGGAGTTTGGCTCTATGCATAAAGTACCGTTGCTTGGTTGGTAAATTACTATACGCGGTGGAAGATGCCCATCTTTACTCCGTAGTTGAAGCTGGGTAAGACCTGAAATGATGCTTCATGAACAGCGTGATCCCAGATTTGATGTATACGGTCTGGTACTCGCTTCTGGTCAACAGCGGCTCAGTCATGGGCTTCCGTTACAGCGTGTCATTGTAACCATTCCATGACAACAGGGCAGCAGCCAGCCGGAATGGTCATCGCTCAGTCGATGAAGAAGACGGCTTGAATGCAGCAGGAAAGTTGACATCATATAGATCGCTCGGAGGTACTAGCCAGAACGTAGTATTTCGGGCTCCGGGCCGTCTGCTGAACAGTCTGGAATATGCGGTTCGTATGATGCGGGTGCGCTACCTATTGAAAGGTCTTCAGGACCGTCAACAGTTGAAGCCATCCATTTATGGTTAGGGTATACGCCTGCGATGGGTCGAGGTGATGACTTGTGGGTACCGAAGGACACACAGTAGTCTATTCCCTTGTGAAGCCATACGAGCAACTTCCGTGCTGGTATATAACTGAGGCACAGTTGATACTAAGCATGTATAGAACGAGACTGATACTGATTGAAATCACAGCTATCAAGAGTCAGCACAGATGCTTGTACGGCGACCACCAATAGCCTGTTCCTCTGTTGCTATTCGGCTCGGCAATGGAATAGGCTCGGCAAGGAAAAAGTATACAAGAGTCGGTCAAAAATGTGCAAAAAAAGAAGCGTCCCGGGAGAGGATCGAACTCTCAACCTCACGATTAACAGTCGTACGCGCTAACCTTTATGATGAATTAGTAACTGATGGGTGTGGAATTAAATTGTAGGAAGGGCAAGCTTACCAATTGCGCCACCGAGACTACTCAGTTGTTGCAGGGGTCCACTTATGGTCTTATCAACGGGTACAGGACGATGAGTAGCAGTCAGTAAATGATGCCACCAGGCGATACCACTGTAGAAGAGGGCAGCTATTGTCCCATCATAAAATGTGGCACGTCTGATCAAAAGCTTGTAGTTGTTCAGCATCAAACAGCTTGCACCATCAAGCCGATCCTCGTGCATGCATGGTCTGGACTGAAACGAACAGTCAGAGAAGGATGTCCTCGGACGGTATCTCTTGGCCTGGCCGGATTATGCACACTATCGTTGACTTGGGACCCTATGTTATAGCACACGGCCGGGTGTATCTCTCATCACAGAGCATCGAACTGACCGCTATGTTATCAACGCACAGTGCTCCGTGCTGTCTACTTTGTACCTGGTGTGACTTAAATGGTAGCGATTGTCGGGTATCTGAGTATACTGCGCACTGTGTATGGTACGAGCAGAGTATACCCCCAGCAACAGTGGCAATGCTATCGGCGGAGGTGGTGGACCGTGTAAGAGCCATGGAGCGTCATGTTCTCAATGTGAAGGTCCACACCCATATCACTGCATGCATTTCGTATGCCAGCAGACTGGCTGTGCTGGTGGAGTCTTTCCTCGTGTGGTATAGCCATGTTCATCATTTTTTCGTATACTCCGAGTATGACGCCTTATATGACCTCCTGCTACCAGCGGTTTGTCTTCCTGCATGCAGTCCAACGGTCACTGCTTGGTCACTCTATGGCTCACAGCGACTGCGTCTGCGTATTACCGGGCGTGCCCTTCCATCGGCCAGGCCTTCCGAGAAGTACAGCTGGTGCATGAGGCAATAGGAGTAGTCCTTGGTGCCAAGGCCGCGTGGTGCCGCCAATCTGGCAGGCAAGTGTTCGCCTTTCTGCATTCGAAGCCGTCTGCCAGCTAAGAGTTATGCTCCCCATTGAGCCGACCATGAGGACCTGCTAGGCCAGGCTGCTCCATCGATTATGGGATAGTTGCGGGCTGTATGGAGCCGATGTGAGATGGAAGTAAAAAAAAAATAGAATAGAAATAAAAAGAATGGACGTCCCGGGAGAGGATCGAACTCTCAACCTCACGATTAACAGTCGTACGCGCTAACCTTTGTGATGAATTAGTAACTGATTGATTGGGTGAATTTGTTGAAGGTCAAGCTTACCAATTGCGCCACCGAGACAGTTCGTTGGTGCCGGCGACGAGATCGGGTATCGTCAACGCTCGATTTGCAAATAGTGATGAATCTTGGACCAAGCCCCTCCCCCCTTTACAGTCGTACTGATGGCCTGTATACAATGCCAACTGCCCATCAAATAGGTATGTATACGCTCGATCTTACGGTCAATGATATGTATGTCACTAGTACATGGTCTCTGCACCTCACATAACATGCTGTGGCCTACATCTACTCGGAATAATAGAACCCATCTCTTGTGTTCATTCTACTATATATCCGTCGCGGTGGCACAGTACATACTACTATCCGCAGTTACGAACAGCACTAGGGCCAGTGCACAACCATGTAAAATAGTGAAAAGAAACGCAGCCCGTGACAACTGCGAACTACATACCATGGCATCCAAGGGGCTTTGGCCCATATACTAGCGAAGTTTCCACCGCCGCTAAGAACTAAAGCGCACCCGACAAAAGGGGTGCCATCATGTCGCGCTCTCTAGCAATACAATTGAGTGTCCTGCACAGAAAAAGACAAAGGCCGAAGGTATTGTTATGGCAGGGTTGGACTCCAAGAATGATGTGTGCGGATATCCATTATGCCACACTCCATCATACGGTATCTCCGCTATCGAGATATAGTGATCAAGGAGCCACACATACCTCTCACATATAGCCCTACAAATACTCAGGTACACCAAGGTCCGGGATATCACAAGTGTGCAAACACCCACACATGGCCCAGTGCTGCAGCTGTAAATGGACCGACAGGAGCTCATTGGGTGTGGCAACGCCGTCGAGCCACACCGGAAACAACATGATAATGGCCCAAGCCACCTTACTGAATATAACCAGGTTAAAGCTATCATTCTGCCACATGAGACCGAGACATTCTGGCTGTCATGGGCTCTGTTGTAGTCGTAGACGCTATTAGCTCCCAAACCTGCTGCTTTGTTTGGCCCAAAAAAATGACTATAAGCATAATGCCTTCCATGTCCATATGTGGTACGCACTTAGGCCGGTCATATCCAAGCTTGTCATGGAGTTGGCAAAAGCTCTTTGTTCATACCTGTAGAACAAAAAGGGAGAGCAGAAAGAGCCATGGTTCCACTGCGCCTTGGGCGATGGCTATCCGAGTAACAAAAAAAGGATAAGAAAAAAGATACGTCCCGGGAGAGGATCGAACTCTCAACCTCACGATTAACAGTCGTACGCGCTAACCTTTAATCATGAATTAGTAAATGATGGGTGTGCTGAAATGTGGAAGTGTATGCTTACCAATTGCGCCACCGAGACCGGTTGTTGAAACATTTTCTCTATTAGAGCTACAGAAGCTAGGAAGGTCCAACCATGCCTCTATCACGTGTAACCCCTCCATGATTACATTATCACGATAGCGCGCACCAAGCCCGAAAGAGCAAACCGTAAACAGCGCTGGGTCTCGACGGCAAAACACCGCCCGCAAAATCGCTCCCCAGACGTCAATAAAGCCCGCAACTGTTCTCTCGGCCCCCCCTCCCATGCACCTGATCGTCTAGTTCATGGGGCTGGATCAGAGTCGCAACAATGAGGATCACGGAGATTATTATTGACGTAAGTTCATGTTCTCTGCAGCGCCCGGGAATGTGCGATTGCTGACTGTCTACCCACAGGGCTTCAAATCGTACGCCGTGCGTACGGTGATTTCAGGATGGTATGCGCGGACTGAGACGCTTTCCACTGTGCACTCTGCCTGCAGATAACAGACCTAATTACTTATACGTAGGGACGAATCCTTCAACTCCATTACCGGTCTCAACGGTAGTGGTAAATCGAACATCCTCGATGCCATTTGTTTCGTCCTCGGTATCACGAACATGTCCACCGTCCGTGCGCAGAACCTACAGGATCTCATCTACAAACGTGGTCAAGCCGGTGTGACCAAGGCCAGTGTGACGATTGTCTTCGACAACCGCGACACCGCGAAATCGCCGATCGGATTCGAGGAATATGCGACAATCTCGGTGACTCGGCAGATTGTTCTTGGAGGCACAAGCAAATACCTGATCAATGGCCACCGTGCGCAGCAACAGACTGTGCAGAACCTCTTCCAGAGTGTGCAGCTGAACATCAACAACCCCAATTTCTTAATTATGCAAGGTCGGATTACGAAAGTACTGAATATGAAGCCCGTTGAAATTCTGTCCATGATCGAGGAAGCGGCTGGTACACGGATGTTCGAGGACAGGAGGGAAAAGGCTGTGAAAACCATGGGCAAGAAAGAGCTCAAGTTGCGCGAGATCGAAGAACTTCTTAAGGAAGAAATTGAGCCCAAGCTGGAGAAGCTGCGGTCTGAAAAACGTGCTTTCCTCGACTTCCAACAGACTCAGAATGACTTGGAGCGCTTGACTCGCTTGGTGGTTGCTCATGACTACCTCAGGGGTAATGAGAGGCTACGGGTCTCTGGAGAAGAATGCGAGCAGAAGAGAAGCAAGGTGCAGGCGCTGGAAGACAATGCGGCCAAGCTGAAAAGCGAGATTGCTCACCTTGAGGAGGACGTGAAGCGGGTCAGAGCAGCTCGCGATAAGGAATTACGGAAGGGTGGTAAATTCCAGGCTCTGGAGGATGAGGTCAAGTCCCACTCGCATGAGCTTGTCCGGTTGACCACCGTTTTCGACCTCAAAAATGCCAGCATTGCCGAAGAGAAAGAGAAAAAAACAGAAGTCCAGAAAACAGTGAGCGACCTGGAGAAAGTCCTCAAGGAGAAGCAGAAGGTCTATGATAAGCTGCAGGCGCAGTATGATGCTGCTAAAGCAGAGCTTGACGCCCAGACAGCTGAAGTCGAGCAGAAGGAAGAATTGCTCCAGACCCTGCAGACTGGTGTCGCTTCAAAGGAAGGCCAGGAAAGCGGTTACCAGGGCCAGCTCCAGGACGCTCGTAACCGTGCCAACACGGCTGCCACTGAACAAGAGCAGGCCAAGCTCAAGATCGCAAACTTGGAAAAGAGGATCAAGGAAGAGGAGCCCCGCGCAAAGAAGGCCAAGGAACAGAACTCGGGTCTTTTGAAAGAATTGGAGGGCCTGAAGTCGCAAGCCAAGAAGCTTGACTCAGAACTTTCTAGGCTAGGATTCGAGCCGGGTCGCGAGGAGGAGCTATACCAGCAACAGACCGAGCTCCAGAAAGAGATTCGTGAGCTGCGTCAGAGAGCCGATGGCCTCCAGAGGAAGGTTGCAAATGTCGATTTTAATTACACCGATCCCCATCCTCACTTCGATCGTTCAAAGGTCAAGGGTCTGGTTGCGCAGCTCTTTAGCCTTGATAAGGAGAAACTCCAAGCCGCTACAGCACTGGAGATCTGTGCCGGTGGCCGTCTGTACAACGTTGTTGTCGACAGTGCTGAAACCGGTACTCAGCTGCTTCAAAAGGGAAGACTGAAGAAGCGTGTGACTATCATCCCTCTGAATAAAATCTCCTCGTTTGTTGCCTCGGCCGAGAAGATTGGAGCAGCGCAGAGGATTGCACCCGGAAAAGTTGATCTTGCTTTGTCGCTTATCGGCTATGATGAGGAAGTTACTGCGGCAATGAACTACGTCTTCGGCAACACCTTGATCTGTAATGATGCCGACACAGCGAAGCGGGTCACTTTCGACCCTGCCGTTCGGATCAAGAGTGTAACGCTTGAGGGTGATGTCTACGACCCGTCCGGTACCCTGTCCGGAGGAAGTGCTCCTAATACGAGCGGTGTGCTTGTCACCCTGCAGAAGTTCAATGAGGTTACTCGGGAGATCCGGAGCAAGGAGCGACAGCTGGCTACTGTGGAGGAAACAATGCG